GATCTTTGATTCTTCCAAATACCTCCAGGGACAGTGACTCCACCACTTCCCTGGGGAACCTGTACCAGTGCTCGACAACCCTTCTGGGGAAGAAATTTTTCCTAATATGTAATCTATTACTTGATTAGTAGCTATCTCAAAATGTTTTGCCAGGACCCCAATACAGGTTATATAAAACGCTGTACCAGTCATGTATACTCACTGTTTCCTAGGGAAGGGAGGAACACAACCTTAACATGCAATGGAAAGGAAACAGCAATAAACTTCATTACCTATCTCTAACAAAAATGAAGAAAAGGTTTTAGCTATAAAACTATTCTAAGAAAATGTAACCAGAAGTAATACGTTATATGGCAACAATGTACATACAAACTACATGACCCAGTAGCAACAGCTCCTAAAAGTAAAATCATGTTATGCCTGCTACTTGTAACTGACAAATACCCTTAAATCCTTTTGTCTAGAGGACAACAAGGTCAAAAGAGGTGGTTGATAGCTTTCAAGGCCTACAGGCTTTTATCAGGATATAAAAATCAGTAAGACAAATACCAATACATTAGACTAATAATCAAGGTTAAATAGTTTGAAATGCCTGTGGGATGTATGAAGAAATATAGTTAGCTAACAGGAATAAGACCTTGTGAGACTCAAAGGGCCAGGATCACAGGATTCTTAACTCCTACAAACCATAAATAATAAATCAAATGAACCACAGCACTGACTTAAGCTCTCCTCATGAAAAGGACTTTGCTGCTTAGAGCAGTCTAAGAGGGAATCCCTGTACCCCAAACTAATTTTCTCCTCTCTGTTCTTCCACTGTGGTGTTTCCCTTCTACACAAGCTGTCACAGACATACAAAAATGTCATTAATTTTAACAGAAGTTCCTCAAAGGAGCTATGCCCTGGCCTGGGTGCATGCATAGACCTTGGGCTTGCAGGATTAACCTGATTAAAGCAGACAAGACTTTTTCTTGTTGAACAGCATGAACAAAAGCCCACAAATTCATCTCTGATAGATGAACTATTCCAGCTTGAACAGAAGAATAAGCCCATTCTCCCCGATAAAAGCTAGCACTGTCACAAAAACCTGCTGCCTCACCTCTGGGAAGCTGTGTCAGCATTTGTGTTACCAATTCTCTACCACTGAGATGGCTCCTCCTCAATTACCACCCAATTAAATAGAACCTATGTCAAAATCCAAAACCTTTTAATGAATTAATGTAAATTTGTATAAAACTCTAGCTAACATCTCTTTGTAGCCCTGAGTTATTGACTCACATAAACAACAAGTATTGATAGAAGATGAGTCAGAAGTTTTGGAAATTAAATCACTATCAAAACATAATCTGAAAGAGACTTATTCCTCACAGAACTTATCTTTGCTATATTACAGGTCTGGGCTTTTCAAGAAATTAAAGTGAAACAGATAATGAAGCCTTTACAGCTTCTATAATGTTTGCTAGCAACAGGAAGCGAAGGCGGAAAGCAAGAGGATTTGAGTGTGCACACATATACAGAGACAAATATAAAATTCCACTTTTTATTCTCAAGTATGGAAGACAAAAGGGGTTTTAGGGTTATTTTAGGTTTGGGTTTTTTTTGTTTAAGTTCACGTGCATATGTGGTATATGAAACACAGAGATGCATAAATACTATCTCAGCAAAAGTAAAGTGGAATAAAGGATGACCTTATTCTAGTCCAATCAGTTCAGAATTTTTTAAACTGAAGATGCAGTGATAGCTAAACTGCTTGATTCCTCAGAGTTTCCACTCATCAGATTCACAGCTGATTAGCTCTGTGGAGCATGTACATTTCCTTCAGCAGATGCTTCCGATGTTCATTACCAAGAGTTGCTGCTGGAGTAGTGCGCAGGTTCCAAACCAGGCTAAGCAGAAGAGTTTTGCAGATACTTTGGGAATAATGTGATATACATGAAAACACTATCAGAACCTAGCTTTTCTGACATTTACCATACTGTATTTCCTTCCACTATCTATTTAAGAGACTAAACATACACGGAGTCAGACAATCTGTTGGCAAATATTTGCCACCAAGTCCCCCTTACCACTTATCAATAAAACTGAACTAATTCTCCCATGCTCTGATTTTCATTCTTTGAATCTCAATCTGCTCAAAACATGAACACTGCATTAAAATAAACCTTCAAAACACCTACCACATAACTAATAATCAAGTTACTATATCAGTGAAGGGCTGTGAATGCCAAATGTTCTTGAATTTCTATTAAAATTTTAGAGCCAAGTTGAGGAAGAAAGCTGAATACTAAGCTATTTCATTAAACAGAAGCAAAAGCAGAGTGAACTTAGTAGATAACAGTGGCATACAATGCCAAAACTATTGTGATCAAAACTGAAAAAAAAATAAAAATTAAAACTTGAAGGGAAATGAATAGTGTTATTAAAATTCTACATATTATCTCAAGCATAGAAGTAAATGGAATAAAGTTGGTTGTTTTTTTTTTAAGCAAGGGAGAGGAAAGGAATCTTCTAGTTGGTAAGAGATGACTTCAAATTGGAGAGCAACTGCCTTTATTCAAAGTCATTTTAGGAATTTAGAATACTTCATTATTTTACCAGATTCTACTTCATGAAACAGATTACAGGATTTTAGATGCTTTGCACACAGTGCTGCTGGCTGCTTAGGCAGTTTAGTTTTGGGAGCTTAAAGAACCTGATCTTCTTATATTCAGTCACTTTGCCTTTTAGCATCTTTTCAGTCCAGGCTGTTTAAGCTGACTTCTTCCTGGACAGCAAGATAAATTTGTCACCCAGAAAAGAGGAAGCATGTGTTCTTATTTAATCCTTACACAGCTTGTACAAAATAAATCCATATTCTACATAAGAGCAACAGAAAAAAGCCTGTGCACGTTGAATTATGAAAAACAGACATTCGTTTTGCTAAAATACTGCTCCATGAGCCAATTTAGGAGTAAACTGTTCCCTACATCATCTCATAGAGGTAAAGAGCTGAAAGCACTGATGAAAGTCAAATTATGTGTAAGAAAACCACCAGGAAAGAAGAAAAGAAAAGAAAAAAAAGAAAAGAAAGAAAAGAAAAGAAAAGAAAAGAAAAGAAAAGAAAAGAAAAGAAAAGAAAAGAAAAGAAAAGAAAAGAAAAGAAAAGAAAAGAAAAGAAAAGAAAAGAAAAGAAAAGAAAAGGGAGAAAAAAGTGTGGGGTTTTTTTCCCTACTATTAGGCTTGGTACAGCCGCCAATAATTATGTCAACTGTGGGTGTTGCAGTAAACACAGTTTCTCATGAAGAGCAGTCAAGTCATTACACAGAAATGAAGAAGGAAAAGTGTAAATTTCATTCAGACTCAATTGGACTCAGTGTCCCCAGGCAAAATGGTTTCAATAATAAAAACTAACTGGTTCCTCCTTTTCTGAAAGCTTTTCAGTCTTTTATGAAACAGCAGAAGTATTTTCAAGGAACTGGGATCACCTCATTGATTTGGGAGTAAAGATATATATATAACCCTCGCCTGTAAACAACTCTGAATTCTGTCCTTCTGAGGACAAAGATTAACAGATAAAGTACCAGACACTCCCACCTCCCTACTTGCTGTTAGCTGAGATAAAGCACTTGCTCTGCACTAAATCAAAAATTCATTCCTGTATTTAGGATTATGAGTCATGCTGTTGAAAAATCTATCATACTATTTCATGGGGACAAGGTGACAAAGATTTTTTTTAGACAAATATACTAGAACAACATGAATCTCAAGAGTGTGCCTTCATTTAAAGAATATTCTATTACTGCTGTAGTTATCAAGAGACATTGATGTATGAAGACCTAATATAACAATTAAGAATTCATTCTCTCAAGTTTACTGACCACAGTGGCAGAAAGAAAAATATGCACTCAAAAGATGAGATTGGTATTATACGGTATCTGGAAAAAGATGGAACCTACACTCCCTATGTTAACAGTAATGAAAGCCTCCACCTAGATTCAGTCTCTCAAAACTGAGTGAGATTTATTTTCCTCCTAGATATATTTAAAAGTAAATTTACCTTAAATAGTTGCTAAAACTCAAGGGAGACAATGAAACAGGCCCCCAAAATTCCTCTTTAATGTAGGTCCACACACCTATGCAATCACATCAGATCAGTCACTGCTCTTCACAGAACGGATAAATCCCTATGATAAACCACAAGATGATGTTGATACGCAAGAAATGCTGAACCTGACAGATGAAGAGCATTGTTTTTTTCCAATTTAAAGCTCAACACACCTTCGGCAAAAAGAAAGTAGCAGACATGGCAGACCAAAGCACAACTGGCACAGAGATGCCAGTTTTCAGGAACCTTTTTATGATTCACTTCCTAGACGCTTACAAAGTCTGAAGAGGAAACAAAACCAGCATCGGGTAGAACCGAAAGCTTGTAAATCGTATCAACATACTTTCGCTGGAAATTCATCTTCCATCCACGGCAGCGCTTGCCACCCGCGCTTCCCTCAGAGGCTCGCCCGCCCTCTCAAGATGCGGGCGGCCACCGCCGGGCTCCCGGGGCCGCGCCCCCTCCGCAGACGCCTCTTGGGCCCCTGCTCCATTCGGGGGGCAGCCGCCCGAGGAGTCACTCCACACCACGCCGGGCGCAGAAGGTCGTTACGCAAGGTGACGGGGGCGGCCGGGCCGCGACAAGCACGGGCCCGGCCGCACCGAAGCGGCTGCCTCGGCGACCCCCCTTCCTGCCTCCCTCCCGTTCCGCACCCGCGCCCACAGCCGGCTCCGCCTCGCAGCTCTCGGCGGCGCCTGGGAAGGCGACTCCCCTGCTCCGGGCCGGTCCCTGTGATAAGGCGGTACCCCCGCCCCGCACAGATGCGGCAGACGCGACGAGGGGCTCAGGAGACCGCTCTCCCTCACGGCCTGCGGAACCGCAGCGGCCTGAGGGGGGGAGCGGCAGCTGCGACCCCCCACAGCTGCGCTGGGCATAGCACCGGTCCCCCACCACTCACAACCCCTCTCTGCCTCACCTTCTCCGGCGCCGCCCGTGCGCAGCACCCCGCGCCCGGAGAAGCGCACCGCCCATGGTCCTCGGCGGAGGCCGGCGCGGGCCGAGGGGCGGCCGCCGCGCCCGCTGTGGGGGCCGGGCCACCTGGAGGCGGGCGGGCGCAAGGGAGCGTCTGCAAAGTGCCAGCCGCTAGCAGGGCCGCAGTACGGCGCAGCAGCACCCGCCCGAATACAGGCAGTCTCGGCGGCGGCTGGCAACCGCGCAGAAGGGGGAGCACGCGCGACCAACCAGCCCCGCCGGCCGCCCGGCCGGAAGCGCCTGTCACAGGTCTCTCAGAGCGAGGGAGCGTGTGCAAAGTGCCTGCCTAGCGTCGGAACGCGCGGGGGGTGAGGGGTGGCGGCGGCTACCGCCGAGGGTGTGAAGAGAATGCGCCCGCAAGCGGGCATGAGCACAGCCGCTCATGCGCAGCCGCTGCGCGCTGTGGTAAGTGTGCGGAGCGAGCCCGTGAGGGCGCACTGGTGGGGCGATGCTTCCGCTCTCCTCAGCTACAGCCTCGCCCTTCAAAGAGCGGGACATTTTCGTCTTATGCTGGCCGGTCCGGAGAAGGGTCGATGGTTCATCGGAGCAGTGGGCCCTGCTCAGGCCTCGAGGAGCCCGCTGCGGAGCGGCCGGGGAAGCCGACGCTGTCGCCTCACGGTCCTGAGGCGCTTGTCAGGCAGATACCAGGAAAGCAGAGCTAGATAGGTGTGGCTTGAAGAGCGCTGGGTGACTTGAAACAGGTTTCTTAAGAGCTCTCTTCTGCCTTCCCCGGGCTTGCCCACAGCGTCGACATTGCACAAGGCTAGGCGCGGATCTTGTCTTTGGTAGCAGTTGTGGTTTTGGCTGCACTGGGTGGACGCATTACATCAGCTAACATTTTTCTGAGTGTTAGGTATTTGTGCCAGGAGTTGTTGGGTGTTCATCTACTTCTTAGGTTGTCTCTAAAACAGACTCTGTAAGCTACTAGAGCTTCAGCGTTTTGGAGCCATTAGAGCAGAGGAAGATAATATAGTTTTGTAACGGGATGACTATATTTTTATAGTGGCGAGACGGTCTCTATTTAGCACAGCTTCTGGAGAAGTGTTTTCCCAAGCCCGCATACACAGAGGATGCTAATAGGAGATGGGTGACATCTGGTGGCCAATCCTGATGTTGATAGAGGTTTTTTTTTGTCAAGAATAGATCAAGATCAGAGTAAGAAAATAGGTTTCTGGTTACCTCTGCGACCTAATACAGGCTAAAGGAAGAACAGGTATAGCTTGTAATAAGGTGCAGGACTCAAATATCTGTTACAGTATTTTTCACACATCATGAATCACTAGGAAGTGGTTACACACACAAAAGCCCTGACCCCAAAAAATTGATATAGTTTTGACCACTATTCTCAAAAATACCTGCTAGTGTTCAGTGCTATTCATTTTGGGTTTCTCCAGATGAGTCAGAAAATGGTGATGCACACAATGTGTGCTGAAGGACACTTGTACCCACAAGCATTCGAAGTAATGCTGTGGAACTTGAAGTTTCACTTTTTACCAAGCATTGTGCTGTGTTTCAAGTTGGAAATGTTCACTGGCATTTAGTGAGAGGTTAGGGATTAGAAAATTTTACAAGGCACTGGAGGATCAAAGACTTGACATCTTTCTGTGTAAGATGGGTAACAGTTAAAAGTTCTAATATGATTTTTGGAACGGACTCTTCTCACAGAGAAGGGAAGGAGGTGAAATAACAGTATCTACTGCACTTTCATCCCTTTCTGTTTATTATAGTTTTAATTTAGGAAGCTCACATGCAACAGCTGACCTAACATTGCAGTCACTTTTGAGTTTGATATGCTCTGTTGTAGAAATTCTATATATCAGAAAACAACAGGGTCTCCTAGCAGAGTTCTTACTTCAGGGAGCAGTAGACCTTCTTAGCTAACGGTTTTCAAACTGAGCCATAGCTACTAGATTCTTCATTCAGAAAGTTGCACTACATGTTTTACAGTATGTATATCTGACATAGCTAAAGGAGAAAATATGAGAGAGATGAGGGAACTGTGCATTAATTAAGGAACCATGGTAGAGTGGGCTTCTTAAGGAAGGGTTGGGTTCTTGGAGCATAAGGAGCAAGAGACTGAAAGAAGGGAGAACATAAACCCTTGCAGCATGAAAGTATTAGAATCTGAGAGCAACCTGGCACTTACAGGTTTACTCCTCATTTTAGTGCATAACAAGTAGGCCACCAGTTAATCAGATTTAGCTATCTCAGGCCTGTCTGACATTCAGCATGTAGCTCACAGTTATAGCTTTA